CTTTTTCCGGGGGTTTTCGGGGGGGGAGGGGAAAGGAACCCCCGGGGTTTTTTTTTAAAGGGGGCCGGGGTTTTTGGGGGGGGAAGGGCCCCCTCCTTTTGTTTCATTCACCCCCCCTTTGGGGGGGATTGGGGGGTGGGTTTTTTTAGGGGGTTTTTGGGGTTTTTCCCCCGAGGAATTTTAAATTTTTTTCCCCAAGGGAGCCGAAATTTCCCCAAAGGGAAAAAACCCACCGCTTTTGGGGTTTTGGGTTTCCGGGGCGGGGGGGGGAAGCCCCCCCCCCCCCCCCCCCCGTCGCTATTCAGCACTTTTCGATTGTATGTCCGTTTCCGCCCTCCCTCCGGCACAATTCTTTGCTCCGCCCAGCGGAACAAACTTGTAGCCTTCGCGAATGCTTGAGTTTAGTAGGGTAAGTCACGGGTTTGAGTTAGGGAGATTAGGTTTAGTGCTACGAAACCCCAGTCTCTCGATCATTGATAAAGCAAACAATACCCTGGCGAAGGCAGTCCGAACAAGCTCCCCGCCCTGCGTACTCTCGTTCTCGTCTTGGTTCCCTGCGTTGGTTGCGACTGCGCTCTCATGTTATTAATTATCGGCCTCAGGGATCGCCACGGAACCCTGCGGCGGAGGGCGTTTTCTCGGCACCGGGGCCTCTCCCCGTCGGAGCTGGACTGCCTGGAGACCGTCGAGTACTCGACCGCCATCGACATCGTCTCGAAAGACAAGGGCAACGACGACAACAGCTGCGCGGCGGACGGGGGCGGCGACAGCAGCGGTGTTGAACTGATCGGAGAGAAGGTTAGCCCCACCAGCAGCAGGAGTAGTAGTGGGAGCGAGGAAAAGGGGGGGGGGGTGGAATCGGCGGGGGTGACGGGCGGGGACGACGAGGCTTTCATCGCGCAGGGTGCGGAGGCAGCCTCGTCCGCGGACTGTGCGATCTGCCTTGGCGGCTTCGAGGAGGGCGACGTGCTGCGCAAGCTTCCTTGGTGAGTCTATAGGCAGCGAGGGCGGATGCATGGGGGTGAAAGATGTACCACAGGCCGCTCGCTCTCTCCGGGAGTCACTCACGTGTGGCTCCCTTTTGCTGATGTTGTGTAATGTGGAACTCGAAGTAGTAACTATAATAGATCCATTTTTGTGTGGAGTCAAACTTGGAAAGTCAAGGCGGCGTAAACCCGGGTCAACTCGACAGTACGAGCAAGGCCACTCCTCTTAGATTTAAGCACAGTGCTGGAAGCCGCGGAGTTATATTGTAAATGGATTATCCACGCGGGTATATAGCAGCTCGGCGAGAAGGATGAAATACACCCGGGCTGTAAGTAGAACCAGTGGGTACTATTGCGAAGGACCTCCCGAAATGTGTCAGTGCTTCTACAAAAGGCAGGGCCGTGTCGCCATGGCACGTAAAGCATCTCCTAGTTCCCCCCGTTCGCCGTTTACTCCCGATGGTGCTACGTCTACGCATACTGTACTGTACCTCCTAAATCGCCGCCCCTCCCGCATCTGCGCGGACATGTCCGTCCCCATCCCCCAGCCTCCATTTCTTCCATCAGAAGTGCGTGGACGAGTGGCTGCATCTGTCCGTGTCGTGTCCGCTCTGCAAGCGCAGCGCCCGCGAAGGCTTGAGGCGAAATCGCCGGCGGCGTCGTCGCTTGAGAGCAGCGGCAGAAGCAGCAGCGCAGCGAGCGCAGCAGCACCGCGATAGCACCGTGCCCGCGACAACAGCGACCCCGACACGAACGCCAACGCCCGTGGGAGCTTGGTTTCGAGGACTGCCGTCTTCCTTGGCGCGACTTTTCGCCCACTCTGGAGACGGCGGCGGCGGCGGCGGCGGCGGCGAGGGGCGCGGGGGGCGGCGGCAGTGGCAGCGGGTCGACGATGACGGTAGCAACGGGGAGGAAAAGTTGGACGACGATCGCGGCGACACCGGTCACGACGAGGACTCTCCGCTTGACGGAGAGACGAGGAGGATGAGAGTGTTGAACGCCAACATAGCGGCGTTTTTCGGCGGGGCGGAGCCGTCGCCGCACGTCTCCCCGGAGAGCCTCGGCAGCAGCAGCCCCGGGGGTAGCAGCAGCAGCAGCAGCAGCAGCACCGGCAGCGGCGACGGTGGCGGAGACGCGGCAGTCGGCGGTAGGTCGTCGGCGCTGCGGGGCTTGTTTGGCAGGAACAGGTTTGACGGTGGCGGGGGGCGAAGGAGAGGTGGTGGCGGTGCTAGCGCAGAATATGAATTGGCACCAATTGGGCCGGCTGCGGCTGCGGCGGCTGCGGCGGCGGCGGTGGATGAAGGGGTTACTAGAAACTCGGATATTGTCTAGAGGGCTGATGTATCATTACTCAGGAGGTGCAAACGTCTTAGGTGGTGTGTGTGCCGTAAGAAGGTTGACTGAAGTCGTTAAAGACTGGATCAGGGGGTGGGTTATCTTGTGCGTCTTGGTGATGTGTGTGCCGTGTGTGTTGTTTCCCGTGCCTGTTGTGTCCTTTCTCTCTTGGGGGCTGTGTACCATTTGGTGTACTACCATTTTTTGTTTTATAGAGGTCTGGGGAGCACCACATACGCGTCATGTGTTGGTGGAGAGTCAAAAAGTGCTGGGGGTGAGTGTGACATCATGTGTTGTACATGTATCTAATAGAGAAAAGGGCAACAAGCTCTTGTTGGGGCGCGGGGGGGGTCTCTTGTTTGTTTGCGGCGGCGCCAAAAATCTGCCCGCGAGGTTGTATAGGTGGGCTCATAAACGGGAGGGACGACAAGGCCCACGGTCGTAACGCCGTGCTGTTTAGTGTGCGTCCAATCAGTGACCAAGTTCTGTGGTTTCTCCTTTGCAACATGTCGCATTGAGCCGCGGCTAGCATGGCGCTGTATCTTCATCGGTTGTGGAGAACGTCGCCAGTGAAGGGACGCGTGGGGCTTTTGCCTCCGCGGCGCGTGTGAGTCCGTGTGTTTTGTACATTTTCGCTGCTGCTGCTGCTGCCTGTGACGCGAGGTGAAACGCTCGGTGCGTTGGCGAGGGCTGGTGTATGCGGAGGCAGGGCCGCGAACCTCGTGATCGTAAGTTTGTTGAGACCCAGGGAATTCAGCTGCGGCGAAGAAGAGAATCAAAGCAAAGACGAAAGAAAGACGTCAAAAGGATGCTGATGTGCACAGAAGCATGGAACAGTGCTTGGGGTTTGGCACCGGTGTCGAGGTCTAGGCCGCGCGATGGCGCCGCCGCCATCTCGTGCGCGTAGCTTTCGTGAGAGCAGAGAGGAAATGCTAACGGACTCAAAAAAGCGACCCCCAACAAACCGGTTCAAAACTGGCGATTGTTTTTCTTCCGGGAGCAGGAGCCAATGGATTGGAATACAGCTTCACCATCAGGACAAGGAGGTCTGCCACACTTCGGTCGCACTAGGGCCAAACCACCTGGTCAAGTCGTGCAGCATCATTGCTCCGAAAAAAATTCCAACGTGGTGGTGAAACACACGACGACAGTGAGCTTTGCACATCGTGAGGCAGCACGCCGTCCTTAAACTAGGGGCGCTACGCCTACACAAAACACTAACAGGGACGACGAGACTCGGCTTGATGTTTTTGCCACAGAACGTCGTGCTACAGCTACCGTATCTCGTGAAGCAGACCAAGGTAGCTGACCGACCCAATCGGTCTCGCTATGCGTATCAGCTAACTATCGGCACAAGGAGTCCCCCCCCCCCCCCCCCCCAAACCACAAAAACCCTCGAAACAATAATGTGCTCCTGAACAAATATACCGCAAGAATTGAGCACGACCACATACCGGGAGAGGCCACAGCATAACAGTCAACGCCAACGTTACCCCAATATGGACTACTGTTAAAATTTTAAAAATGGTACAGGATTACCCGCACAATCCTCCCCAAGGGCACAACGCTCCATACGTGCCAAACTAATGCAACCTGCCACAGGCGTTGTGGACTTTCGCACAAAAAAAGGGACTCTCCCTACGAGTGTTAAAAACACCACACACCCGAAGCATAGGAACAAAAACAGCAACCCGTCACCAACAGAAGTAAAAAGACACCAAACAAGACTGTTTCAAGTACAAGACACACGAAACCTTTTGGGGACGAGAACAAGTTCTTGCTAACACGACGGTTATCAGATACAATTCGACCCTGTACACCGTGCACGCGCGTACCATGCCCCCCCACCGGGAGTTTGTTTATTTCGGAAAAAAGGGAGAAAAAATGCACCAACTACAACCAGTTACTGCTGTACCGGGGGGAAAACGAAGGGTGAGGATGCGACGCGGGGGGGTTCCAATGCCGAACGAGAGCCATGTGCACCTGCCAACCGGTCCCACCTTATCCCGACGACGCAACCCGATTCTTGCAAACGATAACAAGAGAACCCAAGGGAAACACACACACAATCAACATCGATACGGTATTCTATCTCGGAACAGAGAGAGAGAGAGAGAGAGAGAGAGAGAGAGAGAGAGCAGACGCCGGGAACAGGGCGACGCGGTACCTGGCGATTTGACAGCAAACAAAGACCCCCAAGCCTCCACCTCGCCCGGGGCTAAAATAAAAACACCATCCAAATTTTACACGCTTCCAATCTCGTCGCGACGTTACACGCCGACACCCCCCAGGCCTCCAACCCTTGTTGTTAGCCCGCCCCACCCTCCTTCTTTCTCTTCTTCAACCGGGCGTTCTCCTCCCGCCTGCTACCGACGTAGCCCTCATCCATCGCGGCAAGGAATCGCAGCGTCATGGCCGCCGGTAAGGGAAGCCCTTCCTCCTCCGCCGTGGGGACACAGGTCTGCTGCCCCCTCAGCGTTCCCGTCCGCGTCTCCCCCCCGCCGGGACCATCACGCGACACTTCTTCACCTATTTCCTGACCACCGACTTCCGGCTCCAGACCCTCTCCTTCGCCGGCCGTGGACTCGGCTGCAGCGCCGGAGGCCACGGACCCACCGCCAGCCCCCCCCCGAGCTGCTGCTCCGATCTCCTCTGCCGCGCCCCCTCCGGAGCAGCGCGCGAGGTCGCACCCCCTGTTAAGGTGGCACTGGTTGCCCTCGGAGACGACGGAGCCTTCACGGTGCTGCCCTTGGAGGTGCTCTCGGAGTAAGACCGATGCAGACCCGAGCCACGACCTCAGCTTCTGCGGGAGAAGAGAGGGTTAGGGTTGGACCCACGCAACGGAGCAACACGCGAGAGTATGGAGTCAGTCGCACTCGAGCTAAAAACGACCGTGGTTGTATTCCGAACGGGCAGTCTTTCAGTATGTTTCATGCATGTTTTTTCTAAAAACAAGGGGCTGGAAAACCGTACGGTCCAAGCTTGGGTCTGTCCGGCGGGAAGCGTTTGATGACCTTAGCACAGTCTGTTCTCTCCATGAAGCGGAGGTTTGGCCTTTGAGCTGAATTTCGGGCAACATGACCGCGTTCAAGAACACGGGCAGTCGAAAACAGGTACAAAGAACACCGAACCTAGAGGTGGCTAGCTAGATTAGATGTTGGAAAATCGAACGCTGGACGACAGGCCCAACCGTGAAGTCAATCCATCGATCATGCACGATGCTTCAAATAAGTGCGTGCGAAAACCGAGCGGGGCAATCGTCTTTATCGAGCGAACCCAACGCACGATCAGCGCATCTAAAATACCAACTTGAGCAAAGTGGTACCAATGCCGTACTACATGTAGAATGGTGGAGCCATGTCAAGGAAATAAAAAAGGGAGGTCTTCAAACAGTCATTCCCTCACAAGAAAAAAACTTACCTGTATCGAGACCCGTTTCAAAACACAAAAAACACACTAAGCAAAGACAACAAAAGAAAACATACATAGCGGGCGCTCACAAGAAGCAAGACCAATAACCACACGCAAGCGTACCTCTTCCGCCTCCGCCTCCGCTCGCCGTGCCAGGAGGGCATACTTTCCGTCCCCGCCGGGTAGGGGGGCGTCCCGGTACTGCAGCGTGTGCCCGGCGTTGTCTCGGATCACGTTGAAGCGCACACGCACGCGCGAGCTCTGGAGGATGCTGATAGCCGGCATGCTCCCGACCCGATTCACGTCCGTGCCGTCATCGTCGTCCTCGTCCTCGTCCTCGTCCCCGGCGTTACATACGGTGGACGACGACAAATACTTTCCTCCTTCTTCTCCTCCTCCTCCTCCTCGACCCCCGCGGCCGCAGCCGCGGATCGAGCAGTGTTCTACCGCGCCCTCTCCGCCAATGTGCACGCCGAAGACCTCGCTGCCGGAGATCCAAGAGTCGCAGATGATGCAGGTCCCCTGGTCGATGTTGACGCCCCCCTTCGAGCCCGCCACCGTGCAGCCGTCCATCTCCAGGTGCGACTCTCGCCCGAGCTGATACACCGTGCCCCTGTACCCGGAGCCCTGCTCAAGGGTGAGGTTGGCGAGGCGCACTCGCACCGCCCTGCTGCTGAAGGAGTGGACCAAGCTGTTCGCGGGTCCCAGCGCGCCGTCCTCGAATCCGCTGTCGCTGTCGTCGTCGTCCGCGACCACGTCTTTGCCCTTGACCTCCGGCACGCTCGCCCCGCCGGCGCCGGCGCTGCCCAGCGCGCCCCCCATCACCCCGACGAGATAGTGCTCCCCATCGGGGCCCGAAGAGACCCGGTCGTTGTACAGCACGCAGTCGCCGGCGTCGCCGGCCCCGATGATCTCGACGCTCGACACCAAGCGCTGCAAGCCCCACGCCCGGGCCTCGTACCGCCCCGGAGTGACCAGGACCACGTCTCCCGGGCGCAGCGCTTCCGCCACCCTCCCGCGGTCCTCGAACGAGTAGTACAGTCGAGGGCTGTTGTTGCCGCCGCCCTCGAGGTGCTGCTGCTGTCGGTCCCCAAGATCGGCAGCCGAAAGAGCGGACGCTACCAGCACGTGCACGGAGAAGCCGGAGGGCCGGCCGAAGTACGCCTTGGACGCCGGGGGCAACAAGCCGATGTCGCCCGCCGGCGCCGGCGCCGCGTTTGCCCGCTCCCGGTAAAACTTCGCTGTGTCGGTGATCCTTGGACCCGGGGCGTGAGGCGAGGCCGGCAGGCTCGCCCGGGGGGACAGCTCGATGGTCGGCACGAACGGCGGGCGCGTCGTCCGGGAAGCCGACCGGGAAGCCGACCCAGGTGATGCATGGCTCGCCGCGCTAGAAAGCGCCGAGAATGTGCGCGACAAGGGCGGTGCCGACAACTTTCTCCCCGACCCGCCTCCCAAGGTCGCGGCGGAGGGGGGGGTTATCTCCGGCCCTTCGTCGTCGTGCTCCACCGCCGCCGAAGGCTTCCGGAAGCGGAAGGCCGACTTCAGCGGCGAAGACTGCGACAGCGCCGCCGGTCCCGGGCTGACCGGAGGGCGAGGCCTAGGGGAGTTCCTGCGATCCTTCTGCCAAGCCGCCACCGCCGCCGAAGCTTTCTCTCTGGCTGCCAGCACGAGAGGCATCGAGAGGAACTGGGGCACGGTGCCGACCGATAGAGATCGTTGGGAGCCGGGCTCCGATGGACTTGCCCCGGTCGAGGGTGGGCACGAGTCAAACACTCCTGTGTCCGCTAGGCTCGAGGCTCCCGTCTTGGAGGACGTCTGGATGGGTGGAGGTGGTTCCATGGGGAGTGGCACGGCAGGCGCTTGGTGGTTCTCGTGCGCCGTCGTAGATCCCGCCGCGGAGTCTTGCGAAAGGGAATCGACGGAGCAGGGCGCCAGCGATGGCCGCACGGGAACGCCTGCTGCGTCGCCCTCCTGGCCCGACATGGAACCCGCAGCGGAGTCTTGCGACACCGTCCCAGCCGACCCTTTCGCCATGGCCGGCCTCGCCGGCACCACGTTGTCCTCCCGCGGCAGAGGAGAACCTGCCGCCGAGTCTCGCGACGAACCTGCGGCGGCTGTTCCACCCTCTCGACTCAACACAGAACCTGCAGCCGAATCTTGCGACGTTTCGTGTTCAGAACCTTTCGTCAGGGCCGGTTGCACCGGCACCACGCTGCTGTCCTCCTCTCGCGGCCGTGGAGAACCTGCCGCCGAGTCTCGCGACCAACCTGCGGCGGAATCGTTCGCCAGATCTGCGTCGCCGTCCCGGTCCGACACAGAAACTGAAGCCGAATCTTTCGATAAATCGTGTTCAGAACCTTTCGTCAGGGCCGGCTGCACCGTAACCACGCTGCTGTCCTCTCCCGCCCGTGGAGAGCCTGCCGCCGAGTCTCGCGACGAACCTGCGGCGGAATCCTTCGCCAGAGCTGGATCGCCCTCCCGACCCAACACAGAACCTGCAGCCAAATCTTGCGATACTTCGTGTGCAGAACCTTTCGTGAGGGCCGGCTGCACCGGAACCACCCCGTTGTCGTCCTCTCGCGCCCGTGGAGAGCCTGCCGCCGAGTCCTGCGAGCGGTCCTTAGCCACGGGCGACGGGACAACCCATTCGGGAGCCCCGCGCGCATCCCGCGCTTGCGCGTCGTCGCCAGCTCTAGGCTCAGGCGTCGGCTCCTCCTCCTCCTCCTCCTCCTCCTCCTCCTCCTCCTCCCCGCCCTCCCGTGCTGCCTGCGTCCCCTCGCCCTCTCCTTCTTTTGGCACCTCGAGCGCGTCGATCTCCGCCTCCCCGCCTCCGCCGGACCTCGAAACCTGCGGTTTCTCGTTCTCCAGCTGCGACTCTCGCGGCGCCTCGACACCCTTCCCTGCCGTCGATTCGTGCTCACCCGCCGGTTGGTCTCCTCCCGCTTTGTTCTCCGGTGCGAGCTGTTGCGGCGATCCTGTCGAAGTACCGCCGGCAAGCCCTGGCGACAGCGACGAGCCGCGCGGGAACGCCGTGTTCGCGTCAAGGCTTACCGAAGGGCGCGGAGGCAATGGCGGCGGGATGCGAGTAGTTTGCCGGACGTCCGCGGTCGACGAAGATCTTCGCGGGGGTGCTGCCGCGGCCTTGCCATCATTAGGGCTGGTGGAAGGTGGTGGCTTCCTGGCAGACTCGGCGCGGTGAGCAACGGAAGAGTACGGCGGCGGAGGTCCTCTCCGACTAGCGTCTGCCGTGAGCGAGGCATCTTTCCTTGCCGCGAGACGTTTCGTTTTCTCCAGCACTGCGGGGTAGAGCGGCGCGCTCTCTCTCCGGACGGGGCCGGAGCCGGAGCGCCTCCTCTTGACTTCCTCGGCGTCGGGGGGAGGCGGCGTCGGCGAGAGGCTGCCGTAGGCGCGTCCGCCCTTCGTCAGGTTGTGTGTCCGTCGACGCGCTCGCGAGGCTGCCATCTTGACGGCGGCGGCCACCGCTGCTCCAGGACTCTGCCGAGGCTGTTGCTTCTCGGAAGGACTCTTGCCGACGGGTGAGGGGCGCTTGGCGTCATTCCCCCCGATGTTGCCCGATTTCGAGCCTTGCCGGCTTCGGCCGCCCCCCGGATAGCTTAGCCGTTGCATCATCGGGGGAGATGGACAGGGTTCTTCCTCGCTCGCTGTCTGGGTCGTCTGCGGCGACTGTCGCCGTGCTTCTTCCGACTGCTGCTGCTGTTGCTGCTGCTGCTGCTGCTGCTGCTGCTGCCGCTGCTGCTGCTGCTGCTGCCGCTGTCCCTCCCGTAACGCCTTCGACGATTGGGGGTTCCCGACCGTGGCGCGCCTATCGCTCTCGATCGAATTCTGCCGCCCGAAGAACGGGTGCCTCGTGGGCGCGTGCTCCCTCTGGCGGGGGGTGGCTCCAACGGTTCCCACGGCGCCGCCGTAGATTACTTTTCGCCTGCTGCCCCGCTGGCCGGTCCCGGAGACCTTCTGGTGATTCACCAACGGGGACTGCGAGGGAAGCTCGGCCGCGCTGGCGTAGTGCACGCACACCTCCCGGTGTACTTTCCAGCCCGCCTTTCGTGTTGCCAGCAGGGGGGGTGGGGCGAAGGGGGGAACGGGTGGTGAATCGGCGGGAGAATGTTGCTTGTGTAATACCACGGGCCAATGGTGCGCGCCGGGAGGTTGTCTCACAACCGTAGTTTGCATGCGTACTGTACTGCTGTGCAGAGCCGTGGTGGAGTAATTGTAGATGTATACGAAGCACAACGGGGTGGTGACACTTGTACGTTCAAGAAGTAAGAAACACACAAACCACAGCACGAGACCAGCTTTCTATGAGTACCCCCAGCTGGCGCATCACAACCATCCAACATCCAACCTCAAATAGCCTCTGAACCACAAGTCGACGTTACCCTGTGTGTCTGTGTACCGTACATATGCATACCTTCTGGCACTCCATCCCGCAGTAGGCCACTGCTCTGCAACGCGCGCACAGCTTGAGGCGGATTTTTGGTTGACCCTCGCCGCCCGCGTCCTCTCCATCTCGCTTGCCGCACGAGTCGCAGCGAGGGGTGCGTTTCCTCCTGGACACCTTCTTTGGAGAGAGCGCCTTGAACTGCTTGCCGCGGTTCGACATCGCGGGCGCGCCTTCCTTCACAGCGTTTGTCACGCTCCTCTCAGCAGCACCTACAGCACCTAGACTACTTGGGACTGTTTTCGCTACGGCGCTCTTCCAGGCCAGCTCCAGCCGCTGCCGCGGTTCCGCGAGGTGGGAAGAGCGGGAATCGCGTCGCGTGCGGAGACCAACAACAGACGTCTGAGGGGGGAGAGGAAGAGGTCATTCGTCGCCCGAGAGAGCGCTTGCCGTCGAGAGGAAAGAGGAAAGTAAGCCCCCCAGGGGAGAGGAATATAGTTCGTGCGGCAGAACTTGACTGCAGCAAGTAGCGTAGAAGGGGGGGGGAGGGTAAAATGAGAATTGTCAATGGCGGACCCCCTGACTGCTGTCTTTCGGCCCGTGCCTGTGTTGCACTGCTGTTGTGAACTCGAACTCACACATTACACCGTGGGCGCAGTCCTCAGGTTCCGCAGGTCTGGTACATTATCCACCGGGTATCCTCACCATTGAATTTCGGCAGCAGTTTGTTGCGGACGGGGAGCTATGTCTTCGATTTTCGAGGCCTACGACGAGGAGTTCTTGGCTCTCACCCAGGACATCGGCAACAACATCAGCCACTTGAACACCTACGAGACCGACGCCGGTGAGTCTGTCTCTGGCCGAAGTCTCTCTTCCATGGTGTCGTACAACAAAAGCCGTCCCCCCTCTCAGGACGTAAAACTACGCCGTGCCCATCTGTTTGTTCGAGGTCGCTCCATGTCAGAATTCCCCCGCCAAATTCGAAGAACCTGCTGTACGCTCTCTGGAGCACTCCGAACCCATTTCCTGATCACCTTGTCACATGGTATCGTACTGGTGTACCATCCATAGCCCAAGGTGCGTAGCATGGGTGGTGTTGTACTCGCCCCCGCCCCCCCTGCATTAACCACTGCTGTCCATCACCCTTTCTCTTGGCAAACTTTCAAAAAGGAAGTTGGGAAGGCACCACTTATGATGCCTGGTACGAACAGGTACCGGTGGAATGATGAAATGGTAATCTATGCATGTGCTGCTCATCGTATCCATAGGCAAGGCATACACCTTCTTGTTCATCACTTTACATCAGCTCTCACTCTTCTTGTTGATCACTTTACATCAGCTCTCACTCACTACATTGAACACCTCTTTTCCCTAGGCACGTATTTGCGAGGTGAGCACAAACGGTGATTCTCGTTCCTGGCCAATCTCTTCGTCCTGGAATCACAAATCTATCGCGGGGGCAATAAATGGCGCTCTAATGCGATGCCAAATTTTCACGACCGACCACCTTCGCGGGTGTCCCTTCCACCATATAGTATCGACTTACCAGCAGTCCTCCCATTTTTTTTTTGGCGCCTTGTCCACGATGCCCGTTTCTTGAAGGGAAAAAACGAACGCAGTTGACGCACATCGATGCCCTCGTGGGGCAGGCCGGGGATCTGCTTAAGCAGATGGAGATCGAAGTCCGCAGCACGCAGGATGCCGCAAGCAAGAAAGAGCTGCAGGGGTGAGTGAGTTGCGGCGTGCGGCGTGTAAACACAGCAGTACCTACCGGAGCACGCTTTCGTGCAGAAGACACCCGTTATATGCACGGCATTATTTAGCAGGAGGGGCGGAGACGCCGCAGAGTTGAGGCAGTAAGGCAGCAGCAGTATGTGACGAAGGATGAGGGAGGGAGGGACGGAAAGACGGACAGACAGTCAGAGAGGGAGTAAAGAGTGAGACAGACAGACAGACAGACAGACAGACAGACAGACAGAAAGAGGCAGAGACAGGTTAGCTCTCGACGGAACAAAGCACCACGGCCAGCAAGCCCACAGCAGGTAGAACGTAAGGCGGTAGACAGATGTACACACGTTCAGGCAACGCCTATTCTTCGAATCCCCCCCCCCCCTCCTGGGATCCCAATCGGTGATCGGTCGTGTGGGAACAATGCTCCATCCTCTCGAGGACGCGTGGTCAATGGTCTACCGCTAAGGCATGCAATACTTAAGAGTACGCCCCCCCTTCCCGGGACTTGGATTTGACTACAGAAAGCCTCTTTACGCATTATATCCCCCTATGAAATTGGCGTATGTTCGTTGGTCAAGCGCGGTCGATGCGATATACAGAAATACAGACTCGCAAACCCACGCAGAGGGGGAGACCGAGAGAAAGATCAGGGCACGGCGAGAGGACCAGGGGGGGAAAGAGAGCATGCACGCACAAACTCCTGTCATGTAACATGTAACTCGAGCCCAACAAGGAGCACACGCCAGTACCCCCACCTCAAAATGGGCACCTAATCAAAGCGCTATTTATACTGCTTCAGAAGACGGATCTTGGTTACTGCTTTCCAGGAGTCAAATCGGTAGACTTTCATACAGGAGCCTGGCTTCGACCAAGCACCTGTGTATCATAACCCTTGCTGCTCGAGGTTCCTCTCGAAGCACCCGATTGTCCGCGCGGTTTAGTTTGGAAGCCCCTCTCCGAATGCAACGCCCTGGCATTTAAACCCTTAACCCCCGCCACCGGGCTGCTCTCCACTACTCTACCGACTCTGTCGCAACGACCAACAGCAAGATCGCCAGCTACAAGAAGACGCTCCAGTCTTTGCGAGGGGACTACCAGCGGGCTGTGGAGAAGCAAGAGCGGGAGGGGCTTCTGGGAGGGAGAGAGGCGGTGAGATTTTCGCACGGCGAGGCATCGCGCACGGAGCTGAGCGGAGCAATAGAGCAGAGACACTCTTGTCACCTCGTGTGCCCTCTCCCAACGAAATGGGCTTGACGGCCATTTCGGCGGTGGCAGTGACGTCATGCTGGTGTCGAGTAGTCACCGCCCAGAGAACGAGGTCTCGCAAAGTCTCTTGGTGCCCCCCTGCGTTGCCTCCCGTCTATGCTGCAATATTCATGATATGACGCTGTGTGTCGGGCTTGTGTCGTTGGCTTCAGCTGCTGTGGGCGCTCCTCATTGTTCTTGTGACGCGTTGCCCGCGTCGTGCCCAGGTCACGTGCTATAATCCCCTTCTTCGCGCGTTGCTTGCGTTTCTTTCCGTGCGGCGCGGCAGGCGTTCGCGCAGGGCGGCGCCTCGCAGGAGCAGCGGGATCGACTGCTGCAAACGACCGACCGCCTGGACGGGCAGAGTCGGCGATTAGAGGACAGCAAGAGAACCATGATGGAGATTGAGGACACCGGTGAGCGGGGGAAAGAGAGAGAGAGAGAGAGAGAGAGAGAGAGAGTTGGCGCCGGGGGGGGGGGGGGGGGGGGGCAGGAAAAAAAAAAAAGCTTTTTTTTTCAGGGCACCGAAAAAACTTTTTAAAAAAACGGGGGGGGGGGAAAAAGGGGGGAGCCCTCGAACGCTCCGGGGTTTTTTTTTGCCCCCCTCCTTTTAAAAAAGTGGGGGGAAGGGGGGCCCCCGGGCCCCTTGGGAAAAAACCCCTTTTGG